CTAGGGCACTCCACTATATGATAACCAGTATACCACTACTACAACATCCTATCATATAAGGATATATACACAAATCTGGCAGATCACTATAACACAACAACATTCTATATACCAGGATACAAATTTAACAAATCACCACAACATAACAACATCCTATATATCAGGATACATAACCTAGTGGGCCGACATTGGTGCCTTCGACCCACAAGTATAGTGAGGAAAACTCACCTGAATCGAAGAACCTTAAAACACTGCGAAACGCTCCTTTCTTCACTGCTTGCTCCTGCGAATACACCAATCATTATAACCAGGTAAAACCTTATTCAACAGTCTAAAATCCTCAAGTTTGACCCAAAAGTCAATATTGGTCAAAAAGTCAACGGTCAACGAAAGTCAACAAAAGTTAAAGTCTAAGGATGCTGAGTACGCCTATCGTACTCAACGTACGCCCAACGTACACGGCCTGTCCCCACTCCTCCATTAAGCACTTTATCCATTAAGGTATTTTGTCCATAGCTCAGATCTAGACTTAGAACATCGACTTAAGTCATAAAGTTTCCACCTTTATCCATAACAAGGCCACAAACTTTCAAGATCCAAACTTTATGCACTAAAGTGACCAAACGCTCATAACACCCAAAAACTAACTATATCTAACAAATATATCATCAAGATTCAAGCTTTATACCTTCACAAGAAAGATTAATGTGAACAAAGTCTGGATCTACAAGCTCCAATGCAACCAACACTTCTCCAATGAGCTCCATTTTATCAAAGATGCACCAAGAACACTCCAAGGCACTTAAAACACCTTCTTTTGCTCACAAAGCAAAAACTAGGGTTATGGTTTCAGGGGAGGACGTTGGAGAGGTGGAGGCTGAGAATGGAAAGGGTTTGGGGAAGTTAATGAGCTTAAATAGGGCTCAAAACCCCCAAAATTAAGGTTTGGGTTATGATCGTGTATGCCCAACGTACTCCTGGTACACCTAACGTATCAGATTAAATCTCCGCGATCATCCCTGCCTAGTACGCCCAACGTACACCCTGCACGCCCATCATACTAGGCTAAACCCAAAACCATCCTAACTTCTAACAGTCATAACTTCTTCGTTCTAACTCCGTTTTCGACGATCTTTAGATCCACAGAAAGGTATTGAAAAGCCCCACAATATTATCTAGATATCTTAGACTAACAAATTTTCAAACAAAATTCATAGTTCATGCAAGAACCCGACCTATGACTTTCCCCTTCATACCCTTTGCCCAAAATACAACTCAAAGGTTAAGATCTCGCAACCATCATTGCCTCCTTCAAAAAGGTCTAAATATTACCTCCTTAAGACCCAAATCCTTTACACAATCGACTTCCAACCCACATCCCTAAAATAAGAAATAACAGGAAACAGGATGTTACATATAAGTTCAATATGATATTTTTCTATATACTTCATACATTAATTACATGGCAACGAAAACAAACAATTTAATCTAAGGCAAGCAAACGCTAAAACCTATAAGGATCTTAACTTAATTTACATTAACAACTACAATAGGTATATAAATTACTAACATTTAGCAAAACCAATTTACTTGAAGAACTTTAATGTAGATTGAATTCTAACAAGACAAGGAAGATATCAAACAAAGTAGTTTGCCTCTAATGGTTTACACCCAACAATACTAGACCATTGATATTAGAAAGCAACCCTTAGAACAATAGAGATTAACTAAGGAGTTAAATAGGGAATATAAAATCTAAGAACAATAGACTTAGACGAAATTATGAGTGCCTGGGAGGAGGTATTTATAGCTTCCAGTTGGTTGTAGAGAAAATAGATCTGACTAATTAAATAATTCAGTTTAATCCAAATTTAAATATCTTCCTCATCTCAAGCCATGGTCAAAATGTTTCGGTTATTCAACTATTGATCAGTTAACATCCACCCCCTTCTTTTAATTAGTACAAATTAATTACAGATTAATTTTAATTAAATCCAATTAATTCCAAACTAGTTATAATTAATCAATCATCACATGAATAATTAATAAACCCTCTGTATCTCTCTTTTATAACATTCTAGTACTGTTTGGATCACTGAGGACAACCCAAAAATGATTATGCTATTATTTGATAATCTTACTAAGTTAGTTATGACACTAGACACTATTTAAACACAACAACTCCATGGTAGGGATGAAAGTGGGTCCAAATCCGGACCGTTTGGACCCGGACCCGGAAAACCTAGAAACCATAATTGGCGAATTATAAGACCCGATAACCAGACCGGTATACGGGAACCGGTTCCGGTTCGGTTCCGGGTATCGGACCGGGTAAAGTGGGTATGGAACTGGAAATTGAAAATTGGAACCAAACTCGTGTATTAGACCCGGAAAGAACCAGAAACCCGGAAATGGAACCGGAAACCTGAAATTTTGGAATTGAAACCGTTAAATTTGGCAAAATACCATATCGTATTCCTAAACAACCTTTTCAATATCTCTTTGAAATATTTGTGTATATTTTTCTCAAACTCTATCGATGCTCTCTGTTTGTTTTCACTTCATCATCGATACACACACAAGGGATGTATGTATGTGTGAGTTTTGCTTGTTCCCATTCCCAAGTTAAACACATAAAATTCCCTTGACATAAATTCAATATAACTTCATTTTTGTTCAGTTTGTTAGTTAATAAATAAAATATCAGCTCCCACTTATTATCCAAACACTAAAAAATTCTATATTGTTTTTCCTTTTCTTTTTCTAAATTCAAAAAGTCACATAAAACTATAAAAGTATATAAAACTTTATATTTGATATTTGATTTATTAATTGAGAGAAAGCTAAACAAAAAAGGAAGTTAAGTTAGATTTATGGGTTAATGGGGCTTTTATGCGTTTGACTGTGTTTGTGACACAGAGGAATAAGAACATACATACATACACATGAGGCTTTTAGTGTGTGTATCAGTGAAAAGAAAAAGAGATCATCAGTGGATTTTGAGAAATATATACAGAGAGATTTCGAGAAACAGAGAAATGGTAGTTTAGTAAAAAAAAGATCATTCTAAAAGTACAATGTTGTAAACCCAGTTCAGGTTCCTTGACCCATCAAACTGGTTTCGGTCCATTAAACCCGGTTCCGGTTTTTTTTTACGAATCCGGTTCTAAAACCCGGAATACCCGTACCCGTTGGACCCATACCCGAAATTCCCGGAACCCGGATAAGACTAATTTTTAAACCCAATACCCGGACCGTTTAAGCATTTTTCGGTTGAACCGGTTCCGGTCCGGTTTTCCGGTTTTATAACTCATCCCTACTCCATGGTTTATACATTTTCACCATGAGAGTTCAATTACATCTTCAAGATACGAAATAATAGAGTTATTTGGCACCTCGATGCCGACTCGTCACATAATGGGGTTGAAGAAGTTCCCAAGACTAACTTTGATGTTAAGTATTATAATTTTGATTCTTTGTTTTCCTACACAAATGTTGTTCGCGCTTTAATCATTGATGTAAGAATAAACTATGAATGTAAAAACATAAAAATATGGATTAAAAATGGCAAATGAAATTCCAACTTCATATTTTGAGAAACGAATAGTGTTACTCCAAATATGAAGTAATGTTGTTTATTTAAAAAAAACAAGATAAAAAATAGGATGAAGTTGGAGAGAAATATGAAAAATATGATAGAAGATGGTTGGAGAAGCTTTTAGCCCATAAATTTATTTAGAACTTTGAAAATACATGATTATTTGTAAGCATACAATTAATTTACGAAGGAGTCAAATCTTTTGCTAAATTGTACTGGTAATATCTATTTTGAGAACTCTCGAATAAAAATATATTATCTTGTTTGTGGATGTAAGTTACTTTGACCGAACCACGTAAAAACGGTGTGTTTGTGTGTGTGATTTCGTGATTTATCCACTTTACTTTCTAACAAATGATATTAAAGTTTAACAAGTGATAACAATGTTAATACCGTATCGTTTCATGGATTATATTATTTTACATTACAATTCACTTTATGAAGTCCATACGTGACAACATGCCCATTTAGTGATCGTAGTTTTCATGTTTGTCAATTGATGGTACAAACTTATTTGTATTCGGAATACTCAAAGATATAACATGGATCATGTTGAGTCTTAACAACCACATGTACACAATTTCATAATTACATAAGGTTATATTTTCGTAAATTTTTATTATTTTATTGTCTCTATTTATAAATATTTTTATAAATCAGGGTAATAAAAGAAATGACAGCTTTGGATAATCTTCATGCACAAACCCATGCAATACATTTTATCATGTTTTTTTTTGCCTTTTTAGACTACATAAGATAAGCAAATAATTATGTATTTGAAAGAATAAAGTAAACTCCTTAGGAGATTTAAGAAAACATGAGTTTTTATTTTATAATACCATCGATCAATTACGATTTGAGTTGACTAAGATAATAAGTCATCATAAAACATATCGATCGTTGAGCTAAAACAATTAATTGCCCAACAAAATAACAAACTTCATTAAAAACCAAGAAAACATATGATTAGTTGATTACTTGGGTTTAGGACTTTAGCCATATATAAGCTATTTTTGAAGGGCTAAGTTGTAACTTTCTTCAAATTTTATCCACGGGCCATGTCATCAATCCACCAGTTTACTGGAAACATTGACAGACCGTCGATTAACTAGATGGACGTCATAGATTCGTTTAAGTTTCATCACGGGGATCATCAATATCGGCCGTCGATCTTGCTTCATTGACCGCTCAAAATTCAAAATCCCCAACTCTCCGTTATAAATCTTACTCCACAATCAGCATAGAATCAACATCTCTATCTCTCCCTTCATCAAGCATTTGAGATTCAAGAACTTTCAGTCAATCAAAACCCTAATTTGAAAATGTCTGGCCGTGGAAAGGGAGGAAAAGGGCTAGGAAAGGGAGGAGCAAAGCGTCATCGGAAAGTTCTCAGGGATAACATCCAGGGAATCACGAAGCCGGCGATCAGGAGACTGGCGAGGAGAGGAGGAGTGAAGAGGATCAGTGGTTTGATCTACGAAGAGACGCGAGGTGTTCTCAAGATCTTTTTGGAGAATTGTCATTCGTGATGCTGTTACCTACACCGAACACGCTCGTAGGAAGACTGTGACAGCCATGGATGTTGTGTATGCTTTGAAGAGGCAAGGAAGAACTTTGTATGGATTCGGAGGTTAATAGATGTATGAGGTGGATAGTGAATATTATGCTTCAATTATTGTAATGAATCATGTAGAACTTGGAGCGAATTGGTTCTGACATTTGAAAGTTTGTAATCTGGATCTGTAACTGAATGAAATTCTTACCTGTTTCGAGAACCAAGTGAAATGTTTACATGATTTGCATAGTCTTTTCCTGGTTGTATATACTCCTAAGCTGTGTGTGTAGATTTTATCTTCAAAGCTGTGTGCGTCTTTGAAGAATCTGGATTCGAACAACAACTTCAAAGCTGTGTGTAGATTAATCTTTCCTGTCTGTATGTTTTTGCTTTTGTGTTTTTTTAATCTAATGTTCTTCTGAATCTATGCCGACTAAATTTCTTGTCCACCCAAGAAGCATTTTTTCATTAATTAATGTGATATTCGAATAATCAATTCTTACATATTTCTTCTTGCTTATCGCTTTTGTGTTTGCGATTCGATACTCTTAACACTTCTACCGTGTAATTCTTTCTGATAAGTGAAAGACAAGAATCAAACACCTATTTATTATTTGTTTTTTGAAAATTTACATCTTGATGCTAATTCGGTAATTCTTGTCTATATATTTATTTACCTCTACCCATTCAACTATGGAAATTATCACCTATTACTTCTATCTGCCCTTTCATATCGTTCCCTTTGGACCAAATCGATGTAGAGGTATTTATTTTTGTAGAATTTCGTCATAATTTGTAAAAGTAGTAATCTTGCATATGATATGGGGAGATAGCGATTTATCTTCTTGTTCATTCTCAATGTCGATTTTGATTTTCGTTTGCACTTTTGATGTATGTTTATTTGGAAATATGGATGAAGTCATAAAACTATTAGGTAGCGTTTGTGTACTACTGGACAAAGCATAACAATATTTGTTAGCATGGATGGAATAAACCTAACGTAGAACTATGACGGCAAATGGTACTAAAACCAAAAAAAGTGGAACAAGGTTTGACAAGTAAGCTTATTAACTCATTCATTTTATTAACAAACCCGTCGATCTAAAACTTATGTTCATCGTCATACCTTTTTTTTTAAATCAACGCCCGATAACATAGTTGGTACAAGAAAGAATAGCTCATAAGGGATTTGGGACAATTTTCTGCATATATTTTTAACACATGAATGCTTACAAAGAAAGAAAAACTAAAAATAAGGAAGTGCATGCATGCTCAAGTAAATGTGATCCTACATTACAGCTACTGATTTATTGGAAATTAACTAAAAAGAGACTTGGTCGAATGGAACCCGTCAATGGTGGTTACAAATGCTTAAGTCCTTGTAACGTTCAGGAGCCCTTGTCGTTCTCTTGGGTCTTGTGGTCATGTTGTGCATTGGTTCTACTTTTGGAGGTTAGGCGTGTGATGGATCGTGGGTCGTATCAACTGCCTCTCCCTTTGCAACGACCTTGTCCTCGAGCTCTTAGACGTAAATGTTGTTGGTGCATAACTCGGGAAAACGGACTTTGAAGTCTGTGTATTGCTCCCATGTGGCCTCGACTTTGTCTTTGTCGTCCCACTCCACTAAAATTTGATCTTGATGTTGATGCATTCGGTGGTTCACCACTTGCTTGGGTTGTTCGTTGGTGGTGCAGGTGAATTTCGAAAGTGGTGTAGGTGTTGGATTTCCATAGGCTTGGCGAAGTAGCGATACATGAAAGACCGGGTGGATCCGGGGCGGTTGCAGGCAAGTCCAAACGATATGCAACAAATCTTATTTGTTCTATGATTTTGAAGTGTCCAAAGAAACGCTTATTGAGCTTATTGGTTGTTCGTGTTTGCACTGAATGTTGGCGGTAGTCTCTGAGCCTTAGGAAAACCATGTCACATACATTAAACTTTTTGTCTAGCCATTGTTCATTTGCATAAGTTGTCATTCGTTGTTGAGCACGTTTCAGATTGTCTTTGATAAGAGCTCGGATTCGATTGTGTTATGTAAGTGTCGTGTCAATGGAGGCTATGGTAGTTGTTCCTGGAACATAGTGGTTAAGGTCGGGTATTGGTCATCTGTATAGTGCCTCAAAAGATGACATTTGGATGGCAGAGTGATATGAGGTGTTGTACCAATACTCCGCTAAGTACAAGTACTTACACTGCGAGTGGGGTTCATCGCTTGCAAAGGCTCATAAGTAGGTTTGGAGACATTGGTTTATGACCTATGTTTGTCCATCCGACTGCGGGTGGTAAGTTATGGAGTAACGCAGTTGGGTTCCCGATTAAGTTTGTTGCCCATTTGTATTGCTCTGCCGTCTAAACTACTTGGGAGAGGATATGTTTTAAACTTTTTGGTCTATAAAGATACATAATCTTCTGCCTAATAAATATTGTATCCATTTTGTAACACCCAGTTTCAGGTACGTATTTAAATTCAAGCAAAACTTCATATTTTACACTGGGACTCGGCAAGTTGGAGGCCCAACTCGTCGAGTAGGTTCGACTTCGGATCGGGGGGTTAAGTGACCTACTCGACGACTCGGGAGACCGACTCGGCGAGTAGGAGCTGTCTGAGTGAAACCTTAAATTTGAGGGTTTGCACCCTATTTAAACACTTTATGAGGCCTCCACCCCAGCCTCCATCACCTCCAAACCCTGTTCACGAAACCCTAATCAACTTTTGAGTGTTCTTGAGCTATTTTGTGCCATTCTTTGTGATTTGAAGTTTGAAGAATGAAGGAAAGACATGGAGATTCAAGAGGAAAGTTAGTAGATCCATAGATTTGGTTGCATTTCCAGCTTGTTGGAGGTAAAAAGCTCCAACCTTAACTTCTTATTTGTTAGATCTACTTTAGGGCTTGGATATTGACATATTTGGGGTATTTCTAATCCATTTCAGGTTTATAGTGTAATGTAGAGTAATGGCTTCAGATCTTGAACCTTGGAGGGTTCTCATGGCATAAAGGTGCCAACTTTATCGTCATGAGAGCCCCATGCATCTTGTAGACCTCATTTTTGGGTCTTTTGAGCTTAAAGACCCATGTATGGACGTAAAGTTCGTAACTTTACGTGTTATATCGACCCTAGGAGGTCAGATCTACCATTTGGATGAGATGAGCTCAACAGAAATCGAGTTTATGGACATGGACTTTAGGGGACTCGACGAGTCGTTCATGGGACTCGGCGAGTCAGGTATTGGTTCCCCAACCTTTTCTGTTTGTGAGGATTCTGGTTGAGTCTAGAAGGGGACTCAACAAGATAGACGTGATTATGGACCTGGAAATCATGGGACTCGGCGAGTGTATGAACAAACTCGACGAGTCAAGACAATCTCCCAACCCATGAAGACGGACTCAACGAGTTGTTCATAGAACTCGACGATTCATAGACTGGACACATTCATATGATGAAGATGAACTCGATGAGTTCAAGGATGAACTCGACGAGTCGGTTGAAGATGGTCCCGATGTTATGGTTGAAGGTGAACCCAACGAGTTCTTGCTAGACTTGACGAGTAGAGTCGGGGGGAGGGGGGTTGTATCGTTTTGAAAGAATAGGAATTCGACGAGTTGGTGGACCAACTCGGCGAGTCAAGTCAACTGGATGTTGACTTTGACTTTGACTTTGACCTCGGACTTGAGTTGACCCTTGTAAAGGAGGGTTGTGGGTACGTATTAGTAATCAAGGAGAGTTGTTGTGTAAGGATTGAGGAGTTGAGACGAGAGGATTTTCGTACCAAGGATTGTGCAGACACTACGCGACATCGAGGTGAGTTACCTTTTAGTAGCGGTGGGTCTACGACCACAATGCTGGCCCACCAGTAGGAGTGTATGCTAGACAATTGTAGTTGTGATAGTTGTCTGTGTTTACTGCTACTTGATATGTTTATGTGTTGGCATGTTATGATGTTATGTGATCGTAGCAGTAGGGGGAGATAGTCCCCAAGTTACCGGCCGATAGGGCCGAAGGGGTAGTTTAGTGCCCAACTATGCTAGACAGATTATGATTATATGATAATATGTGGTAGTAGTAAGGGGTGAGATAATCCCCCGAGACCGGTCGATAGGAACGAAGGGGTAGGCCAGCACCCAGATATGCTAGGCAAGGTCACCGGTCGAGATGACCGAAGGGGTAGGTCGGGCACCCAGATATGTCTGGCAGTATGTATGTCATGTGATTGTATGGTATGTGATATGATGGGGGAACTCACTAAGCTTCGTGCTTACAATTTTCAGTTTTGTTTTCATGTACCTCTTCAGCGAAGGGGAAGGAGCCTGCGCGGTAGCGGCACATCACACACACGCAGGATTTCCGCACTATGAGATTTCTTGGGATTGTACTCTGACATTGTTACTATTTTTGTGATATGATTTTGAGACATGAGATTATTGTTTTATGAAATGATATGACTCAATGATGTTTTCTTATAAATGTTTTCTAAATTGTTGTATCAAAAATGAAATTTTTGGTATTGAAATTTGGGATGTTACACATTTTTTGACTACTGTAACCGCAAAAAGCTCACGAACATAGGATGATGCAGCTTGCATATGGGGACACATTTTTTGTTGAAAAAAATAAATGGGCTTATCATTTTGAGACGTAATCACGCCAATGGCTACACTTGATGCATTTGTGGTCACGTCAAATGTCATTTCAAAGTTAGGAAGGGTGAGAGTGATCAAATCTGTCATGACGGACTTTGAGATTGGCAAATGATTGTTGGGCGGCTTCGATTCAATCATAATATTTCTTTTTTAATATGTCGGTGAGAGTTGGTGTACATTTGGCGTAGTGTTTCACAAAGCGTTTGCAGTAGCATGTAAGTATTAGAAAAGCCTCGTAACGTGGTGAAGGAGCTAGGTGTTGGCGAGACTTGAATCGCTAACACCTTCTCATAATCAGCTTGCACTCCGCTTGTTGAAATAATATGTCCCAAATAATCAATAGTAGTGACCCTACATGTGCATTTGGACTATTTTGCATGAAACTGATTGCGATTCAAGGTGTCTAACAGGTTTCTCAGGAGGTTGTAGTGTTGTTATGTTGTTGGGCTATACAACAATATGTCATCAAAAAATACCAATACATATTTGCAGAGTTCGGTGCAGAATAGGTCATTCATTGTGGCCTGGAAGGCAGAATGGGCATTGGACAACCCAAAGGGCATTATGAGGAACTCGTAATGTCCGTCCACCGCACGAAAAGCAGTTTTGTGAGTGTCTTCTGGTGTTACCCTTATATGGTGATAGCCGACCCGTAAATCAATTTTGGAGAAGATGATAGCCCCATGCAATTCGTCCAATAATTCGTCAACCGTTTGTATTAGAAAGCGATATTTGATTGTAACGGAGTTCAGAGCTCGATATTCCATGCAAAATCGCCACGTACCATCCTTCCTTTTTACTAGGAGATCCGGTGATGAGTGAGGATTGTGGTTGGGATTGATTATGCCTTCCTATAAGATTTTTGGAATCAGATCATCACTTGTTTTTGATAATATGGGTACCGATAGGGTCGAACATTGACTGTGCAAAAGGTGGGAATAGTAGTGATATGATGATTTTGGGATCGAAAGGGAGGAAGGTGTGTGGGTTTAGCGAATAGAGAGTTATAGTGGATAAGAAGATTACTGATGGTGAGGTATGATGTGGTGGAGTCGTTGGTGGTAAGGTCAGGTGCTTCTGGCTCAAAGTGAAAAAAGTGCGTGCAGTGAAACCATGCTATCTTTTTTATTATGGTTTTGAGGTTTGGGCTTATGACTGGTGTCGACATGGGATGTTACATACTGATTTTTACCATAAATTTTTTAATTTAGCAAAACCACAAGTGTCATAAAAATCCAAGTCATGAAAAATCCCAGATACATCAATATAACCATCCAAATCAGAGTATCAAAAAGTGAACATCATAAAAACAACGAGCTGCAGTGTACAATCAAGTTTGCGCCTTCCCACAATAATCCGAAGTACCTGAAACACATTAATCCATAACTGTAAGCACAAAGTTTAGCGAGTCTTTCCCAAAATATCTATACAACATAGTATAATAAACGACTATGGGTTATCAGCAACCCTGAAGATTATCAGCAATCCTAGTGGGCTAACAACGCGCCTTGTGAACTAACAACATGTTCCAAAGGTTATCAGTAACGTTGGGAATTCTCAGTAATCCCAACTTATCAACATTACAATTCAATGCATATATAACAATAATCATCAGTTAAGACCCAATTGGTCACATACAAAATCACCACACATGCTAATGTAGTATGAAGACTCACCTTACAAGTAGCAGCTAAGTACAATAGCTCACACAGGGTAGACATGTACAAAATAATCACCTAATCAACAATAAATAAGTACCCTTTTTAAACTATGCTAAAAACCTAACTTTGACCAAAAGTCAACAAATAGTTGTTATAACAAGCATTAATGTTAATATAATTAAAAAAAACATAATAAATTATATGTGTGGTTGAAGTTAACAATAATGTTTTTATTTCAATCACTCTCATTCAAGTTACTAAACTTAAGCCTTAAGTTGGTTTAGTTAACTAAACAAATAATAAAATGTTAGACCTAAATTAGATAAATTAGTAAATCTTTCATAACTTTGAAAACATATAATTACTTTGGGGTGTTTCTCACAATTTTTTGAATTTGACAGGGGTTTAGCTAATATATGTCTTTTCTACAGGGGTCGATTGGAATTTTCTTAAAAAGATACCACCAGTATCACATTCCACGTCATCGATCCACCACTTCAGAATTATTCGACCATCGATTCAACTCAATCGACGTCTCAGATCCGTTTAAACATCAATCGGCCGTCGATCTTTTTGACAAACCGCGAAAACACATGTTCCGCTCAAAATTCAAAAACCCCCAATTCCATCATCAAGCCCTTTATAAACCCTATTACACAACTCGGTTTAAATCACCATTCATCCTCCATCTCTTCCTCAAGAAACTTGAAATTCAAGAACTTGTTTCATTTGACAATGTCTGGCCGTGGAAAGGGTGGAAAAGGGTTGGGTAAGGGAGGAGCAAAGCGTCATCGGAAAGTTCTCAGGGATAACATCCAGGGAATCACTAAGCCAGCGATCAGGAGACTGGCGAGGAGAGGAGGAGTGAAGAGGATCAGCGGTCTGATCTATGAAGAGACACGAGGTGTTTTGAAGATCTTTTTGGAGAATGTTATTCGTGATGCTGTCACCTACACTGAACACGCTCGTAGGAAGACTGTGACAGCTATGGATGTTGTGTATGCTTTGAAGAGGCAGGGAAGAACTTTGTATGGATTCGGAGGTTAATAGATCTAAGAAGTGGGTAGTGAATATTTTGCTTAAGTTGGTGTAATGAATCATGTCTGTTTTTGGGACAATTTGGTTACATGATATCAATGTTTTGTTGTTTGGGATGTGTAATTGAATGGAAATCTTTTATGATTTGACGAATCGGTTTGAAATGTTTAAATATTGATTTACAAAATGGATTCGTGTTCTTTGTCTCTTTGAATGTCTCTTTGAATGAAACTCCTTTCTGATCCATTGAAGCCAAACTCTTTTTCTAATCGATTAAAGCCAATACATGTTATTATGGTTAGCAATGTAATGATATTCTTTGTTATTATGTAGAATCTGTGATGGTCTATCTCTAAAACTTAATTTATTTGATACATTTATGGAAAGTATTAACTTGATAACATTGGCGGATGATTTTTTTACATGACTATTATGCGTTATAAATATGGATGTTCGTGAGAATAAATGTTTCTTGTTGAACAATTTAGTTATAGATGACTTTGATGCACCTTTTATTGGTTCATAGTGGATTTATGTTCATAAATTCGTTTGCATCTTATTTTTGTTGTCTTTGGATTTGTTCTATTTATTTTCAAGTATTTAGTTATTTTGGAAGACAATTTATGGAAAACCTGATTGGTGTTATTGGTTTATTGTGTTGGAGCATGCACACGAAGGAAATATTTTCAGTATTTTTTTTGGTTCGATATTAAATTGCTTGTTTTTTTTTTAAAGTTTGTATGTTTTAAAATCCTAGTTATTTTTGTTTTTTAAGTTTTCAGGGTTTTTGTAATATCATTTTTTAAGTAAATTACACGATTCGTCCCTCATCCGAATGCTAAAATACACGTCTAGTTCATATTTTTAAAAATTAACTCGGATCATCCCTCGTATGTTTAAAACTACACGTTTTGTCCCTAGCTAACCTAAAATGACTATTCTGGCATGGGACATTTATTTTTTGATTTCTTTTTAGTTTGTTTATTACTTTTAATATAAAAAAAATTAAAAAAAGAAATATGGACCCACACCCCATCGTTCCACCTTCAACCTAGGTCCGTGTATCTCATCTGTTCCACCAAATTCCAAAACCCCATTTATGAACCCTAAAGAGCACCGTCACACTCCGATCAACATCGCCGGCGACACTATCGAGTACCGGAGGACACAAATCGCCACCGAAAACCCTTACTTTCGGAGCAACCGTCATGCCATCCATGTGAATTTGAAACCCAAACCATCACCCCAAGATCTACCTGTAAATCTGGAGTACACCCCAACTTCGAAGCTACTTTCTTACCTCTCTTCTATCGCCGGTTTTCTTCTCCGCCTTGTCTTATTGAGTCGGTCACTAGCGGATTTCGAAGTTCGGATTCACAATGGGTTTGGATTCGGTGTTTCAAAAATCAGGTTTTGGAAGTTGGAATTTCAAAAATCAAGTCACAGGTAGATTTCGACGTTGGGATTTCATTTCAGCACATTCACCTCCACTGGAAACCACCTCTCACCCTCTTCTTTTATTCTTTGAATCTAAAGTTCTTGTGTTCAATTTCTTTTTCTGATCTCATTTGTATGTAGCTTAAGTCTGGGTTTCGATTCTGAAAGTGAAACTAAAAAGTTATTGCTGGATAAGATGAGCACCAGATTCTGGCGAAGATGCTCTAGAACGACGACCACCACCATTTGTAGGATTTTGATTTCGATTTCAATTTCTGAAATCATTTTCGATTTCGTTTTCTGGAACTAATTGTAGGTTTCTTTTTAACTTTGATTTGGTTTGGTGCTCATTACAGGTGGTTGCTGGAGGTGGTTCCCGGAGCTGAGAGAGAGAGAGAGAGAGAGAGAGAGAGATAAGAATGTTGAAGGTAAAGGGTGGTGGGTTTTATTGGAAAACAAATTTGTCCTGGTGTATGTTTGTGTTTGTATGGCGTGTTCAAAAAGGAGGAAGGAGTAGTCTTTGATGGTTGGGATTTAACCACCGGAGAAGAGAGTGGTGTCGGAAAGGTGGCTGGTGGTGGTGTCGGGGAAAGGTATTTGGTGAAGAAGGGGGTGGAAGGGAAGGGATAGGGGAGTGTGATAGGTGGTGGGTCCCACTAAACTATAAATCATAATATTTCAGTTTTTTTTTTTTCTAATTTATAAATAGTAAATAAATATTAAAAAACTGAAAAAAATAGAAAAGAGCAATATAGTCATTTTATGTAAGTGAGGGACGAAACGTACAACTTTTAATTATATGAAGGACGGTCCGAGTTAATTTTTAATTAAACGTGCAATTTGACACTTCGACCAGGGACTAATCGTGTAATTTACTCTATTTTTTTAAGTAATGAAATTTATTTTATTAAAACTGAATTGTTTTATAAAATTAAAAAAATTATTATGCATGTCATGTTCAAATGCTAGTGTGTGGTAACAAATCTTGATTTGGTTTTTAAAAAGAAGTGAAAGAGGAGATGACATGTCTCCTGTAACCAACTAAACGAATAATAATAAGTTGGAGCTAATCTATTTGGCTACCATGGAAGTTCTCAACTAACTAGGAGGTCGTGAATTTAATTCAAAAAGAAAAAAATAATTATTTGTAGTTCTGAAAAAAAACAAACAAACATACAATAGTTGATAGTAATGTTATATTTTATTTAGTAATCTTAAGAAACTAGTTTGTGTTTTTTTTTCTTGTGTATATATAAGAGCATTATATAACTAATAGTTGATAACTTCAGGTTTACTACAAATAATATCACATCAATGAACGATAACGTTCTTAATATTTATATAAACGTATCGACAAAAGATGAATAAAATAAAGATAGCGATAGTTAGGTTCTTTGTTGACTCTCATTATGCAAGAAGAGGGTTCAAAATATTGGTGGTAATCAGTTCCGTTTATAGGTTCTTTAGTTTTTCATGGTTTGATTTTTTTTGTCCAATTTAAAAACCGAACCAAATCGAATTCAAATTTTCTTGAACAAATCGAAAACCAAATTCTAATTCGGTTTGGTTCGGTTTGAAAACACAGGAAACTAAATATTTACTTAAAAAAAACTAGTGTTGCAAATTTCCAACCATAAATTACAATGTTTTTAACGTAGAAACTTAAAGTTGCAAACAAAAAGATCCAAATAATAAATGGGCTAAAATGATTTTTATTCTATAATTATTATTTTTATTTAATATATAAAATAAAAAATATATTTTTTAATTATTTAATTTATGAATTTCGGTTTTTTCGGTTCGGCTCCGTTTAAACTTAATGAGACTGAAACTCGAACCAAAAACCAAATTCACAATTTGGTTTGGTCTCGGACCAGACCAAAAACTAAATTTAAATATGGTTCTATCTGAAATAATTTCTGTTCCACTTAGTTTTCGGATTTTTCGGTTCCGAACCAAAAAATTTCCAGCCCTAGTTTGAAACCACCTATTAACTTTTTCTTGATATCATTATTTGACCAAGGTTTGACTCCCTACTTTCAAATCCTTTTTTTTTTCTAACAAGTATGCGTTTATGCCGCCTTTCCCTCGAACTTTCATTTTTACAAATTTCATCCAAATTTCAATTTTTTTAATTAGTTGGGTAGAAAACTTTTTTATAATTTCTCTCCAACTTATTTTAGAACTTAATTACTATTTTTTTAGTTTTTGTTTCTAATTTTTTTTACTTCTTTTGAAACTATTTTTACAACTTTGTTCTTACTTTTTTTTATAACATTTTTATGTTCTTTAAAATCATTTTTCTTAAATTTGACAATTTTTTTACATATTTTTTTTGTGATATTGTTTTTTAGAAGATTTAAATTTTTGTTTTTTACATAGTTTTTTAAATATTTTCTTTATGAACTAAATACAACTTCTAAAAATTTTGCGTACAAACAGGCACGAAATGATTAGTGGATTACCTCTAGTTCACAACATTTTACAAATCAAATTTGGATGTCAATGCCCACTTTTATCTTCTAGAATTTATATCTTTGCAACAAACACAAATATTATTTCCCTGTGTTATTTCATTTTTATATTTGATTATTTAATTTACATTTTATGTTATTTACATATTATATAGAAATATTTATATATTAAAACTATTTAATTTATATTATCTATATAACATCAATATTTTAAAAATAATTTAATACAAAGAAAATATGGAGAGAGTATTGATATGGTATTATAGTTGATGAAAATTGTTAAAGCTGAAATAAGATAAAAACATCCATGATTATGAACGATAACCAAGCAAAGAGCCACCGATTTCTCTCCCAAAAGAGAAACGTGTTATATGAAAAAAAAAAAAAAAATTACACCACACATAAAAACAACATATATCGCACAAACGTCTCTTATAAAATCAGAAATTAACATGATACCATACGTATAATCTGTCTCATTCATTTCTGAGGATTCCAAGCCTCTTCCTAAAATCTTCCTCCATACGTGGAAGTCCCTCACGCAATGTAATCGTTGGCTCCCAACCCAACACCTCCTTTGCCTTACTAATCACCGGCTTCCTTTGTCGTGGATCATCAGGCGTGTTTTCCACATGTATAATCTTCACTTCCGGGTTTATAAGCTACATTTCACAATTTTTATTCATTACAATTTAATAATGACTAGAGCAGGTTACATTTTTGCAATTTTGGTCCAAAAAATATTCTCTCGCAGTTTTTAGTCCTTACATGAGGTTATAGTGACATTTTTGGTCACCATCCAAGTAAAATGACTATTTTTGGTCCCCTGAGTATAATTGATTTTTTCTTTATTTTCAATTTTTGTCCAAAAATATAGCCATTTTACTTGGAGCTATGAAAAAAAAGGTTACAAAATTTTCAAATAAGGATCAACATTTAAAAATTAAATCAGCTATATTAAGGGACGAAAAATGTAATTTACTCTTGCATTCTACTTGGAACAAAGACCAAAAACGTTATTATAACCTCAGATGAAGACTAAAATTGCAAGAGAGAAAACTTTTTGGAAGGAAAAAAACAGCTAATATATTATACTCAGGGACCAAAAATGGAAATTTTCTTAGTTATCATGGTCTCACATTGTTTTTCTTGTGTAAAGTTACCAAACTAACCTCTTTCACATTTTCTGCAAGCTCAAGCATGGTGAATTCACCGGGATTTCCAAGGTTGATTGGGCCCGTATTGTTTCCTTCCATGAGCCGAATAAGACCATCAACCTAATTTTAAAAGGAAACAAGGCTGGAAAATTAAATAAAATAAAAGTGCCAAATGTAAATGACTAAATGATTATAAAAACTGTGGGTTTCCACTTACCATGTCAGAGACATAACAAAAGCTTCGTGTTTGAGTTCCTGGTGCTTGAACAGTTAAGGGTTCATTGCTGCATTAGACCACAACAAATAATTCCTAAGACTTAGGGTAAAATGGTCATTTACTCAGAAGGGTAAAATGGTCATTTACTCGGATACAGGCCGTCAATTCAGTCCAAAAGAGAAAACAATCTTTATATACAGCTACTTTTGTATCATAAAAACAAGTTACCGGATTGCTTGAGCTATGAAATTGCTGACAACACGCCCATCATCAATGTTCATTCTAGGTCCATATGTATTGAAGATCCTAGCAATTCTTATTTCTGTTACATGAAATATAAAATATGAATCAACTAACTTTTATTTTACAAAAACGTATCAAATGTGTTCAAGTATAAGAAACAAGTGAGACATTATATTCACCTAGGGCTGTAAACGAACCGAACGAACACGAACAAAGCCATGTTCATGTTCGTTCGTTTAAGTTAGCCGAACAATCGAACGAACACGAACGGGTAAACGAACGGAGTTTTCCTTGTTCATGTTCGTTCGTTTAACAAATTGTCTTGTTCATGTTCGTTCGTTTATGTTCGTGAACATGCTAAACGAACGAACATAAACGAACAAAGATAAACAAACACAATTGAACATATATTAACATAAACGAACTATAATATAATAATGTAATAAAAAAACAATTGAAAATATATGAACATAAAAAAACTTAAACGAACGAACATAAACGAACGTAAACAGACAACATAAACGAACGTAAATGAACGAACGAGACCATTGTCCATGTTCGCTTAACTAAACGAACTAGAATTTGTGTTCATGTTCGTTCATTTATTAAATAAACGAACATAAATGAACTTCCCGCCGAACAGTTCACGAACGGTTCGCCGAACGGTTCACGAACGGTTCGCCGAACGTTCAGTTCGTTTACAGCCCTGTATTCACCTATTCCATGTTGCCTATGATAGTCAAACATCAATGTCTCAGCTACTCGCTTTCCTTCATCATAACAACTCCTAACCCCTTCAATACAAACAGCACAACATCCATGTCATCATTTCATGAACTTTTGAATCCAATTAAGAAAAGGGGAAATGCTGTAAATTTACCGATAGGGTTGACATTTCCCCAATAGCTTTCATCTTGAGGGTGGACTAGAGGGTCTCCATAAACCTCTGAAGTTGAAGTCAACAAAATTCTGTAGGTAAATGAAGAACGATCAATTAAGTATTTAAAATAGTGGTAAATCACACTTCAAGAGAATGAGAATTTCAAACCTTGCTCCAACTCGCTTGGCAAGTCCCAACATGTTCAAAGTTCCAATCACATTTGTCTTGATTGTCTGTTTGAGAATACCAAGAGCAATAAAAGAACACGATTAAGCAAAGATGAAAAATCATTATTCATTCAGTAATATGAATTGGGTCTTGACTAAAAAAAAGATACCTTGACAGGATTATGTTTGTAGAAAATTGGAGAAGCAGGACAAGCAAGATGATATATTTGATCGATCTCAATCAACAATGGCTCTGTGACATCTGCATCCCGGAAGATATATAAGTAAGGCAAAGACAAATACCACTAATCAATGAATTCAAAGACAGCTTACCATGGCGAATAAGCTCAAATCTTGGGTGACCAAACCATTGTTTAAGGTTGTCCTTTGAACCTGTGAAGTAATTATCTACAACCACCACCTAAGAAAAATAAAAAAGAAGCTTTAAAACAAAGGTATGATGTTACAATGCAGATCCTCTCAGACCTCAAATTCATCTTTCAAGTGACAAAGCAACATTGAATTCCATTTAAATACTTTTTAAAAAAACTGTGTACCTCGTTCTTTTCATTTTGCATCAATCTGTCCACAAGATGAGAGCCAATGAAACCAGCTCCTCCGGTGACCAATATCCTCATGTTGGCCTATCAATGTCAGACAAGATTTATCTTAGAACCGAAATATATATGCATCACGATTCACAAAGAAACAGCTAATAACATATATAGATCCAACTTAAAACCAGTTGAACAGATAAAGATGAAGGAAATTAGCCAGTGATCATTCAAAAAATTCAAGCTACATCAAAACTATACCTGGAAAAACTTTGCAGTACGGAGAGGAGATGGATTTGGAGGCGGTCGGCTAGTAACATTGTTTGCTCCAGTAGTACCCTGTGTAGCCATCTTCTTCGGATCACTTCTTCACAGTATCTAACAAAAACAGAAACCATTAGCACACGTCTCGTATCAACACCTTCCAAATTATGAAAATCTCAACAGAACATCATCCTAACTAAATAACGATCTATGGAAGATCCAATCTCCAATTCAGATTACCTAAATGCTCTTAAAATTTGAACTAAAACCCTAACTCTTCCTTCAACCGTGAGCTCAAATTCAAAATGCTACAACTTCTAATTAAATAGCCGATCAAAGAGTTCAAATCAATATTATTAAATTTTGCTACCAACTAGACGATGAATCTTCAAAATTACGCAAAACAGATTAATGAAAGCTAAGTTGTAACGAACTGTCGAAGCATCATCATTCTCACCTAACAGTTTACAGATCTGAATCTGATCAATAACTAATAAACAAAATTGAAGTTAAAATTCGTTTACGAGTTTAAAAATTGTGAAGTTACCTTGACAATTATACAAAGAAAATGCCGGGATTTTTTAGCTAAATCGTGAGATGTTCGTCGACCTTTATATACACATGCATTTGCAATATCCTTATGCAGATCCGAGTTCGAGTAAGATTTTTTGGCTACGTGCTGGTCCACTGAAGTGGGGTAAGGAGAGACGTTGATTAAAGATAGAAAGTGGGGCCAGTGATAATAAACGCCGAGATGAGTTGGTGATAGGGTTAATTGGTGGTATGTCGTCACATGTGATTGGTTCTAATTTTACCTGCCACGTCAAGGAGTCATCATACATTTCTCAACGAGCACGCAATCGTGAAATCGTGATCAAGTCCACGTTTGTTACACTTCTGCCTAATTTCCAAGTTTTTTCTTATACGATGTTATATTTTCTTATAAACTAAATTTTGTTATAAATCTTTCTATTTGTATATTTTCATTCTAGTGAAAATTTCAAACTTTCTACATAGATATACGTTGTGTGTGAGTGTTTTTTTTCATTCAATTAAGTCTTTTACGAATAAAGTGACTAAACAAATAATATATATATGGATAAAATGCTTTGTTAATTTTAAACTGAATAAATCGTTGGAATAAACTAAATAAACATTTTCCTTTTACAATCCAACAAACAGTTTCATAATATTTATCAATTTTAACAAAATGTTTTCTCCTTTGCTACGACTTCCAGCTTGTTTGTCCCCATCATAATCTAAGTCGAATCTTCCTAAGCATTGATTTAGAAAGACACCATTGTTAAGAAATTGCATTGTTTTTAGGGTTAGGATTTTTCAGTGGAAGGTTTTCAAAAGGTAGGAAATGAAGAATATGAACAGAGTTTGGAAAATTGTATTTGGTACAATAGAGATTAACAATATATTGGATACGCTTTAAAACACCAATGTGGCTGTAGTTTAGTGGTAAGAATTCCACGTTGTGGCCGTGGAGACCTGGGCTCGAATCCCAGCAGCCACACATTTTTATTTTTTTGTTTCTTGTTCCTTTTTAAAACTCAATCAACATACACATTTGCGTGAACTTAAAACCTCAATGCCACATTCTTTTAAGCATGCTTTCATAACATATCCATTCATCATTTAGTCCTTTCAACATTATAGGCTACAAAAACCAGTCTAACAAAATTCACCATATATTATATGGTGTCAAAAAACCATCAACTTCATAAAGCTAAAATGGTGAAACAACCACCACCCTACCCTACCCCACATACATCTTTCTAACAAGCCAACAATAATAACAAAGTTTACCAAGTGCTTCTCTAGTATAACAAAATTGGCACTTATCCAAAAACACACTTCTAACAAACCAACATGAGAAATATAATTGATGATCATTGACGTTCGAATATGATTTTTGCATTTGTTGAAGCACGTTGATATTGAAGCAACTCTCTTAACATCTTTACTTCAGCATTAACAGCAACCCGATTGTCAATTACTATTCCCACTTTCTTTAGCATTGGTGAGTTGCCCAATATAAGCTTCACAAAATCCATTTCTGGCTTCATGTTGCCCATGTTTCTCATCTCTAATTCACGCAGATTATCCAATGTCACGTTACAGTAGTCCACCAAGTCAATAAGGTTCATGGCACTTTGCGACACAACTTCTGATGTATAACACATCTATTAAAAACAAATTACATTCTTAATTAGTTAATCATTTACTCATATAACATATTATCGTATATATCATTCATTGTTTCTTACAATTTACCTCCATTTTAATTTTCTCTATATTCGAGGAGCTTGTTACCAAAAGAAGAGCACAACATAAGTCAACTTCTTTTGCAAAGCACAATCCGGAGACATTAAGAACTCTGAGGTTAACAAGTGCAATTGGGAGCTTATCTGGCAAGACACCTGAAGCAAAACACTTTAACCAAAACCAAAAAACAAGAATTAGCAAAATCTAATTGTCCTTTAAGTTGTCACGTATGAGATATATAAATTTGGTCCAACATGGGTTACCTTAAGCGGAGAAGAATTCATACAGAGATGCTCAATCATTGGTAAACACGTAAATAACTCAACAAAGTCAGAATTCCAACACCCAGTAAGATGTTTTTTATCTTCAATCTGCATCAAAATACAACATATGTATGTATAGATTAATATAGCAAAGTTTTTTCTAAAATGGTAAATTTTGTTGGGGTTTAGTGATTTTACCAAAGTGAAGCTCTTAAGTAGAGGACAGTTGAAGATAAAACGTAGAAGAACTTTGGAAGTTATGCTGACATTGTGAAAGTATAAGCTCTTCAGCCTACTAAATCCATAAAACGAGGATGGAGGTTGAAACACACAGTTTTGGAGTTTTAGGTGCTTTAAGTGTTGTAACATGAAGAATGACGATAGTAACTTATGGTCATTACCTAACCCAATGCAAAGAGAAAAGGTTTTGAGGGTAGACATTTTGGATAGGTGAAGTATGATTTGGTCAATCTCACAACAACTAGTTAGTTGGGAACTACTAAGAGAGAATGAAACTATGTGGCGATGGTGTAGCAACAAGATTGGGTAGATAATGTGTAAGAGTTTGCATTTGATGGTCAAGTAATTATGAGGTGATACTTGAAAGATTTCATCATCAAACTTGAGTTTTGGAATGTTTACACAATGATACCTCCAGTTTCTTGATAAAATACTTGTTTTGAATGCATCTCGAATTGGCATAAGAGTAAGCATTGTTTGTATTATATTTGGAGGAAGGTTGCTTATCATATCCAATGATAAACCCAAAACTTCCATCCTAGAACTGTTTAATATTGCTGCTGCAAAATTAAGCAAAGAGATAATGAAGATGCAAGATTGATATGGTATTTACATGCTAGAAAATTTGAGTAACACATGAAAAAATTGACAAGTTAGTCAAAAGTAAGACATGGAAATCATAAATGAGCTACTAATTCACATGCTGAAATGCAAAATATATATACATTCTGTTAAAAACTAGCATCCGTTGTAAAATGTAGTTGGCAATCGTTTCACAAGAAGTTAAAATCCATATGTTTATATACTTACTCCATACGTCAAGGAAAAAAATTAGTATGAGTATGATAGTAAAGATCTACAGTCTACTTCTTTCTCGTATATTATGGTATTGCAGCTGCGAAATTTCAAACTAGGGATTTCAAACAAAACCGAAACGAGTACAACACGTATAAAAATTGGATGATAAATCACAAACAAAACATAAATCAAATTATGTGACAAGTAAAAACACATAAAATGAACATGATGAATGAAAATTTACATCTCATTTTTATAAAATTTTCAAACGAAGTGTTTGAAGAACAAATGAACGGAAATATTACAAGTATAAGAGGAATTACAATCACAGTTAGCTAATGTAGATGAAAGTTTAAGATAAATAAGACTGTAAAAAGAAAATTTGTAAATTCATTAAAGGGAGGGGAAGGAAAATTTTCCTTATTCCGTGTTCCCGAGTTCGAAGGAAATGAAAGGAAATTTTGAAGTTTCTGTGTTACCGAGTTAGGAGGGAAAAGAAAAAAAAATTAAAAGATTACAATTATACCCCTATTTACAAATCATGTTTAGAACATGTAAACAATATGAATCAACTACAGTGATGATCTTTGTTTGAATCTTGTTTTTGAAATCAAATCAATAATTAAATAGACGATAAGCTTTAGTTTACCATTAACCTTTCTGTCTTTAAAATATTTATGAAGAAAAATATGAAGATTGAGCAAAATTATGATGATTTAACAGTAATCTCATAATAATATCTGTACAGAGTGCAAGACTGATCACATATGAGAACAGAAAATGTGAAAATTTCTAAGTTAAAGTTTTTTTGGAAGGGTTTTTAACAAAATGTTGTCAAAAGTTTCTTTGATAAGGCTTCTAGTTGTATCCTTTCACCTTTATATTATTATATAATATATATATATATATCTATAGATATATATATATATATATATTATATATATATATATATATCATTCATCATCTTGCTTTAATCTCTTAAACTAATAGAAAATAGTCACAATAACTCTTGGTTTGCCTTAAATATATCTTAAACTAGGGTGAATATTTCACTTAATATATAAAATAATAAAAAGTACAATACAAAATAAGTATAGTTGAAAAACTCTTCATAATTTCCTCTCTTACCTTCAAAATCATCGCGAGTTCGTCTCTTGAAAGATAGTCGATGTGTCGTATTAAAAGTTTTATATCGGGATTTTTGTTTTTTTTTCAGGCTTTTTGTTTCTCCTCTCTTGTTTTTCCTTTTATCGATCAATTTCTCTTTTTAGAGTTGTAAACGACATTCAAAATTCAAATTATATATTTCGAAGATGCTTGCCATCTTGCATATGTCATCATTTTTTTCGGCTCCTAATGTGTTAGACAAAACCCTTTTTTTGTCTTATCTCTACCAATCAGACGAAATATCTTTTCGAGTTCAAGCTTGTTCTCTTGATTCAAATCAAACCTGCAACGAGTATCCAGAGAATTGCGTAACTCGTTTCGGATATTTTGGTTCTATTTGAACCACCTTCTTCGTTTCCATAAACTTCATTCCATTTTGTGGAATCGGAAAAAAACTTCCAAACATCAACAAATTTGAATGGCCTCCGGTTAGATAGCCTTGCATATAACGTATTGGGTCCACAACCTCCCGATTGGATTACTCTAGCCCACAACCTCCCGGTTGGATTGTCCTGGCCCACAACCTCCCAGTTGGATTGCCCCAGTCTGTTGACTGACAGCACAAAACACTACAGTCTCAACCCCAAACATAACATGTCGACATATAACCGTTAAGAACATATTGAACAGACAGTTAAACATATAGCCATTAATTACAGGTAGTCCTACAGATATACCAGTCTAACGCATATCAGCAGTCATCAGATAATCATGCAGATCTCCTACATACTCAACATAACATCATTCAATATTCCATGATATTAAATCCAGTGGGTCGGCCTTGGTGCCTTCAACCCACAAGTACAATGAGGAAAACTCACCTCTCAATCTGTAAAGATCGCCGAACATGACACTGCTCTGAATATCAGCTCTACCGCCCACCTCTTCATCAATATTGACTAATCTCAAATACAACTCAAAATACTCAAGATACCCTTAGGTCAAACTTGGTCAAACCCTGGTCAAAGTCAAAAGTCAAAATAATTTAGGAATACCATCCTTATGTCGTGACACCCATATGCTCACGTCCTGAGAACGCTCTGAACATGAGTTCTTAATGAAACTCTTAATCCCTTTTTTCCTAAGCAACCAAATCCTCCATAAAGTCTTATTTACTCCAGAACATCATAAAAATCATGGCTTTTTGGACATGTGTAACGCTCGTAAATCCGGGCTAGTCAATTTAGAGATAATAGGGGTCGAAAACGACTTTTCGACAAAAGATTATTTAGAATAAATAATCTTAACCAAGTTGTAGAATACGTCTCAAGGTTTCCGTACATATAAAGAACGCCGAAATCCGAGTTATAACGAAGAAGTTAGGACCCGTCGAAGTTTTACGGCAGAACCGGCACGACACCGGGAGACGTAAATAGTGAATTATGATAGAGCGACTTTTAGCCTTAGCGATCTAAATGAAAGTCGTAGAAAACGTTAAACCAAGAACATACAAAAAAAGTACGCCCAAATCTGACTTCGTATGAGGAAGTTATGAATTTTCTAAGATTTGGCATAGTAGTGCACGACCCGAAACTCGAATTTTAGATGGTGACATGTGGCACCAAGTTCAGCCATTTTTTCACCCTATAAATAGAACCTCTCCCACCCTCATTTTCTTCACATCTTTCCCATTCTTTCTTCTCTTTACTCTCTCTCTAGAACCTCTCTCTAGCCCTGAAACCCCCCGAAAAGCCTAGGGAACCTCCCTAGCACGAGGAGGAAGCCCCGGAGTGCTCGACGGCTCCGAGAAGAAGAGCTTTTCGGCTCGGGAACACTGCTCCAAGCAAAGCCCGATTTTCTATAAAACCCGCTGTAAGTGAGCTACGCCTACGCTATTTTTAATATATCGTTTATTTAATTATAATAGCGTTATTAGGAACTTATAATACGTACCTGGGCTATTATTATGGGTTATATAAGTATTGTTTAACGCTTATATAATAGTAATAATAGCTAGACTATTAATTAGTCTCGGCGAATAATAGACTAAACTCTAGTAGTAATAATACTAGGTTTCGTCGAAGGAAATTATTTTTAAGAAGCGAAGCGCTGTCTGAGTTCAGATTCACCACCTTTTCAAGTGAGTGCATAATTACTTTCATCTTACACATAGATATGAAGTATTTTAAATAAATTACGTGCTATGTGTGCATATTATCTGTATACTTGCTATCTATGTTGGATGAACGATTTTATACATGTTTTAAATGATTTAAACTGTATATATATATCTACAAGAATATGTTGGGTAAAACATGGGTGGATGTAATAGATGGAATATGAGTTGGATGATGAGTTGAGAGGTGTTATAGACCACGAGGTAAGTGTGAGAGGTGGACGATGTGAGAAGCCTTTCCCAAATGATGGCCCCGTCATCTAGCAGAGTATGGATGACAACCACGAACTATTCTAGACAGTCCAGTGGAACACTGGCAGGCTCGCAACCTGTAGGTGTTGTGAACGATGTGTTCACCGGTGTACTCTAAAAACCCATTGACATGTATTGCGAGTGGACTCTCGAAAACGATACTGTCAATAAACGAGATAACCCTAGCAGCTGTGCTCGAAGGACAATACTGGTAGCTGCGCCTCACATAGAATGTCACAATTCTGGCAGCTGCGCCTAAGTGATAGAACTAGCAGCTATTCTTGACAGCTGTGTCATTGACAACGATGGACTTCGTGCCGATTCCTTAGGATGATCCTTAGGAATGAATGAACGAGGAATAATTGATTCTTAGGGTAGATCCTTAAGAGTAAAGAAGATAATGGGGATGGGTAATTGGGTTGATTGTTTGATGTTTAAACATAATAATTATATTATTGTGGGTTGAAAACCCTATGTACTCACCAGGTTTCCCAACCTGACCCACTCAGTTTATTTGTATCACAGGTTTCGATATGAAGTTACATTACACTGAGAGATTTAAAAGAGATGTAGATCACTAGTGTAAATGAATGTAAGTTCTGTTTATGCTTATGTTTCTGTATTAACGATGACATCCCAAATGTTTTAAAATGAATAAAAATACATTTCTTCGGAAATTCTTTGATAATGTATTTATCATGTTTTTCTCGGAACAAATTCTGCAAGATTTTTATTAAAAGAAGTACTCTGATTTTTATAAAGCATAAACAAAATCGGTCTTTTTTTGGCCGTGAAAATGGGGATGTCACAACATGCATGTCCAATGCATGCCCCAAACACTAACTAGGGCAACACAAGAAAGAAATAA